TACATGTCTGTTGATGTTTAGTCTACTGTAGCAATACACACGTGAGTACTGCTATAATTTAATGTCTGAAAGAATTATGAATTTGCAAAAGGTGATAACAGATAGTTCTGAGAGAAACAGTGGTTTAGTGTAGACAAAAAGTGACAACACAGGATAAAAATGTTATCAGGTGGATGGTCGTCCTAAAGAAGCTGATAAAAAGGGCCCAGAGGCAGTTTAGCAAGACGTAATCTATCAAGTGATTTCAACGAACTAGAATCACTTCAGCTTTGTGTTTTACTGTATAATGATCCATTTTCAAAGCAAAGTACTTTAAATACCTCATTTGTAGAAATCAGGTTTGATTGAAAAGGAAAAAAAGTAACGTAAGGAACGTTGTTTTTTGGTGTTCTCAAAACACTACAAAGTTCACTTTCCTAAAATGAAAAGAATTTATTGGTTGACCAGTCCTTTTGTTAAGTTGCAATAATCGACGCAGAAACAACATGAACGTGAAAGCGCTAATTGTTTAACTCACGTCCTCTACGATAGTACGCAAGAGTTTGCTTCCGGCGGCTAGTGAATTGACGAGCATGCGAGCCGGTGGATAGACCTGAAGAAACTGCTCTCGCAGATGCACATCGGTAAGATCGAAGGCATTCTGCTTGCCAAGAGCCTCAGACAGGCAGGTTATGCGCTGAGAGTCGGGGTTTACGGTGGAGCCCGTCGGCACTTCCGCCTTCTCCATCAGCACCACGATAGAAGTGCGCAGCTGGTTGAAGAAACTGACCACCAGTTGGGCCAAGCCACCGCGACGTCCAGCCATGTAGGTCTCGAGGTCGTTAAAAAACTGGAAAAAGAACGCGTGATTCACCTTGTAATTGTAGCCATAAATGCCGCTGAAGGCCTCGTGCAACCGATTGCGCGCCTCCATTAGATCCGATCGGAAAAAGTCTGAAGAAAATAATGTCATAATCAGTACCCCATTATAACCACACATACTGTACATTTATTATAGCCATCATATTATTCACTATCCACATGGCCTTCAAGACTGGTCTCATCTAATGGCAGGGAAGGTTTTGGTCTTTCCTTATTGTCTTGGTCCTTCCAGTAAGAACATACGAACCAAGTACATTGCATTGCCAAAACAAAACCAGTTACAGTAATAAACGCAAGTTTCCCATGGCAGTAATGAGACGAAGAAAGTAACTCATGATGACAAGGAAGACCCAGTCAAAACCTACAACATTATTTAAGTTTCAGTATCTGTAGTCGTCCAACTGTATCCAACGTTATGTTGTCAACAGCGTCAGGGACGGAGCCATGCGGTAAAGATACTGCAACTGCTTTAGCATTGAAGCTATTTGTAACCGACCAGTTTGGAGTTAGTCTGGATACCGCAAAATACTAATAAAGCGACCCACGTTTTGTCAATTGGATGAAGGTATCATGAGTGAAACGAATACAGTTAACTCAATGCAAGTTGTTGCGACAATGTGGCATACTCAAAGCAAAAGGCCACGCAATCATTCTTACTGAGAGTTTCGTTACCATAGGAAAGAAAAATTGGACACAGGTATGAAGAAAACCTTAGCTTCAAGAGACTGTTGAGCGCTTGTGTGAATGTGTGTGCAGTCTGTTCGTTTGTACTAGCATATCACCGTCGCGTACGCACCATCACATGAATCATCTCCACTGGCATAAACATCGGATGGACAGAGACGTATGTGCAGCCACACGGCGACGACCAGCGGCAGAGGAGGCCTCAGCTCCACGCTGTTAAAATGTCGCACTCATAAAAAGAAATCAGACTCTTGTTCCACCCCTTTAAAGGTGTGAAGTCGAGTAACCGGATTGACGACTCGTTCTCAAGCTTTGCCAAATAAGTTAAGCAAACAAGCAAGAAGCCGGAACCAAACAAGTTAAGACGAACGAGTGAACCACACTAAGAATACATTTGCAACAAATTAAACTTTGGCACAGAATTGTAACTCCATGCTCTTATGTCCTCTATTTTTACCTGGAATCAGGGCCGTTGATAAGATGCCTCACTTT